TGTGATGGGTAAGGTGGCCATGATGTAGGGCTTGGTTCCCCAAGGCTGCAACCCTGGGGCTTGATTGGGGGGCGCGGAAACCCATGCGGCGCCATATTTAGGCGTTCTTCCCAAGGGAACCCCAAGGAGAGGGTCAACGGGCACAGAACAAATCCGTGCACAGAACGACCATTCTAGGGGGCCAAAATACCTGTTTTGACACATACCCGTTCCAGGTATCTTTCTCCTGTTCTGCTTGGTGTCTATGCTACTTCGCCCCGGAGGCAAACGCCTAACCTTTTCCAGGCTTAATGGGAAATGGGAAAGCCATTTGTTTCCAACAAGGCCTAAGGGGCTAACGTTACACCACAAACCAGCCACGATTACGGTATGTAGTTGGGCTTCAGAACCACCGCCCCCCCGAGAAAAAAAAAAAAAAAAAAAAAAAAACAAGATTTCGTACTGCAGCCGGAAACTGACAACTTGTCTTGCTCGTCTTCCGTAAGGGAAACACGCGGAGATGGTAAAGCCACATGTTGGGTGGCCCCCAGTTTTCCACACCCTCCTGTTGCAAGACAAACCGGCACCCGGGGCTTCCCTCCAGAAACAAGTTGAAAAGGCTCGCAACCCGTGTCTGCGCAACCAAAAGGGGCTTCCCCCCGAAACAAATCGCTGGTGTCCATATGCCATAGCGGGTTTCCACTCAACACCAACCAAAAGAGGTGCATTTCTGGCCGCCTGGGGTCTGCTTCCCAAACATTTCTCTCCAGGCGACAGGTCTTCTTCTGCCTCCTGGCGGCTGGGCCAAACGCTGCGGCGTTTCAGCGTCATCGGCACCAGGGGCGGCGGCCTGGCGCCCCCCAAATCACTTGCTGCGATAGCTAGGGAATGAATTCAGGGTTTGGGACTGAGTTCACCTCTTCAATGGGAAACCATAGGGGATGGCTTATATGGATCATTCCCTTTCCCTGCTGAGAACCCGGCAAATTAACATGGAGCCTGACAGGGGGCTTTAAAGGGAAAATAAATGGTCTTCCAGGACCCCGGTTCCATGTTAATTGGTGGGAGGGAATTCCATTGAAACGATCGCCACAGGGACTCGAGTTTCACAGCACAAGAGCTCAGCTCAGAACAAACAAACCCCATATGCGAAGTAGATGTGACATCTGCGGACAGAACAAACGCTTATTTCCAAGCAACGCCTATGGATCAGTTCCTGCTGTTTCGCCACCAGGGGGTTCCTGACGAAGAAGTGCCAAAACTTGGGGTGTGAGTCCCAATTAATATGAGAGAAGGCATACGGCTTCATAGCAGACGGGTTTGTCGCCTGCCACGGTGGATGGAATCCTCGAGCTTCTGCAGAAGGCGCTTTGCGTGCAAGGAAGGACACGAGTATGTATAGTTGAGAATGTCTTGGAGGCGTGCCAAGTACCGAGAAGCTGTCATCCACAGTATTTATGTTTTGCGGATGGGAGAGCAAGCAGTTCGATGGTTTGTCCAGCAAGGTCAGTCGGAGTATCAATATGGAAGCCCGACTTTGGATGCTTCTAAAGGCCCAACACGGAAGTGGACAGGAAGCGTTTTGAAGATAACGGTAGACGAAGCGCGCGCCATCTGAACATTTGCGGTGCACGCGGTTTACCGTTGCAACTCTGTCACCCTCAATCCAGGAATTGCGAGGTTCCACAGCCCTTCAAGAGACGTGTCTATCAAGGTCCGAATCGCCTCTGGCCTTCGAGGATCAGAAAGCCCCAACAAGAAAGACACAAAGACATCGAAGGAGGTCATTGAAAGCCGATCTCTCCCAGAAGGCGCAATGTTTCAGACGTCTGCAAGCACCAAAAACAACACCCAACCGAAGTGATCTCATGCCCGAGACAAACAAGCTTTGCCCAGGCTGCAAATCAGTGACCCAGCACAATATTCCAAACCACCTAGGTAGATATATTTTCTACTGCGTGAGCTCATACGCACATTCCTGCTGCGCACAGTACTGGTTTTGAGCTAAGGGCCGGAAGCCATCTTGGACTCTAAACAACATCTTAAACAGATCCCGGCCTCTTTGGCAAGCAACCAGAAGCCGAAGGCCCACACTGCCTCATGTTTGAGAACTTCGGGAATGCGGGCCTTGAGTAAAGCCGGCCTTCCATCGCAACCTACAAACATCACCACAAAGGAAGCTCAGTTGAACTTTGCCTTTCTCAAAAAGAACCGAGGCCAAAAAGACCCCCCGGGGGGGAAGCATACGGCGGGTGCGCCAAGACCCCGCGGGTGTGGATCGAGCCATCCGCACGCCTCTCAGCAGACATCAGCGGGACGTTTGCCATGCGGCTGATCCGCTCCTCCACGAAGAGGTACATGGGCTCGAAGACGCAGAGCCGCGAGAAGCCTCGGCTTTGAGGCCTTCCTTTGTCCCAACAAGCGGGGGGGGGGGGGGGGTAGCCTGGAAAACGGAAAGCAGAGGAATAAACCTTATTGTTTTCTATGATGGCTGCCAAACTCTGAAAGACGAAAAGTCGTTGGCCCTAGCGAACCACAACAAAGAGAAAACATTGGTTTCCTGTTAGTTTCCCTCTTCAAATGGGGTCAAAAGCAAGGGTAAAGCAATACTTTCCTGCAAATGAACGAAAGGAGTGAGCCCAACAAGCATGCAGTTTGCAGTTGTCAGAATCATTTTTTCGGGAAAGGACCCCCTTTTTGGGTGCCATGGTGCGCCGGAACTGAACCAACAAGCATCGCTTCTTTCTCGGTTTCTCTTTTCACCACCCCGCCAAACCTGACTGGAGGCCTCAGGAAGACGTGGTGGGACGGGTACCTTCCCTCCTGGATCACCAGTCGCTGTTGCTCGCACAAACTGTGACTGTTTCTAGGATTGGTTGTGTCTGGAAGAAAGCAGCAACTTGGCTATTTTGGCTTGTCTGAAACTGGACTCCAAACCAAACCCGAATTTTAAGTTTAACAAACATGAAGCCCCGCGGATCTACGAACAATCACAAAGATGGGGACACCAATTTTGAAGCAAACCACATACCATTCTCCTGCCAAAGAGCTTGTCTGTATTTGCTCCCCCTGAAGTTACTCTCAAAGAATCAACAACCAACCAACAAATAGAACCCTTGTCCTAAAGTGTCGAAAGCCTCTCACTTGCACCTAGGGCCTAGCGGAAAAAACACCAGCCCTAGCAAACAAAACACAGAAATACAAATATCGGCAAAAATCTCGGCGGCTAAAAGGCGCGTCTCCAACCGGCTGGACGGAGTTGTTGGGGGCAACACCCCAGCGAGTCTTCCGCGGGCAAATCGAAAAAAAAATCCGAGCGGCGCTGCTGGCCCAGGGCCTGAGACAGCAGCAAGGTGCCGCCGCCCAGGGAGTGGCCTGACTTCCAGCGGCGATGTGGTCGTCTGGAAGTCAGGGAAGTCTTTTCTGGGCTGTCCATTTTGGGATCCCCCGCTAAAGGTTGAGAACTTTCTGTGGGTTAAAAATGGAAATCCCCACTAAACACTCAAAGGCTAAAAAGCCAAGGGGATGGCTGGGAGCCACCAAGTTTTGCTTTGGGGACCCACAAAATGGTGGCGTGGTTGCTGTTGACCCCTCTGCCAAAGGTTTGGAAAACTGTTTCCCAAAAGTTGACATCCAAAGATCCAACCACACAGCCACAAAATGGTGGGTGCCCCTTTTTGGACTGGTCATGTTGCCATACTGATTCGCCATGGTCAGCCGTGGGGAGAGTCTTGGGCCATGACCCCACTGGTTTCTATATACAGGGCTCTGAATCATGTATGCGGGCATGAATCTCAACTGAAAACCACCGATTCAAGAGTGGTTGGACGACGTGAATCCCCATCCAAAGGGTCCCGAATTAACATGAATGCTCTAATCGTATGGGTGGGTCTTTGTTTGGGGGGCATCCACTTTCGTTTAAGTTTCAAAACAAAACCAAAACAAAAACCTTTTTGGAGGTCCCGCGAATTTTGACACAACCCCATAAGTGTTTCCTAAACATGGGAAAAGGAGAGCTTCTGGCTCGTGGTGTCCCAACAAGATTTGAGATGTCCCAACAAGACCCTAATTCACAATCCAAGGAAACAAAAGAGGTCGTTTCTGGGAGAATTCCACATGGACTTTAGATCCTCGAAAGCGGCTGGTCTTTTGAGGCTCAGTTCCTCAATGAAGCTTGGGACCCCAAGCCAGGCAGAAGGTCCCTTCCAAATACAGACCCCCTGTCGGGATGGTTAACCACTGGGGTGTGCCTCCAACGTCGTCCTTGAAACCAACCCCAAAGGGTGAGGTCCTCGAAAACGACACACCCCCATGTTGCCTGGAAATTGGCTGAACTATGGTGGACACCTGGAAACGGCCCAAAGCCCGTCTAAATCGAGTCAGACACCTCGAGTCCTGGAGTCCAATGTTCCCTCTTTTGGCTTTTCTCTTTTGGGGGGGGGGGGGGGGGGCACGCGCCAGATTGACAAATCCAGGTCTCACAGCATGGGCTCGAACTCCCATACCGAACAAATCCGTTTTGCAGACACACTCCCATACCATTCGCAGTTTGCGCGTGCAGTGCCATTTAGTTGTTTATGAATTTGATCTCAAATTATTCAGACATACTTAGCAGCACAACGGCTTGCACAATTCTCCAGTTGACGGCATATGCAAAACGCTTTAAAGCTGTTGTGCCTCTCAGGTTTAGCAAAGAAAACATTGCCCCCCAATTGGTGCTTACACGAGTCACAATCGAGAGTAATATCTAACAAACCAGCAACCAATATCTAATAAATGTCCATCAACGACTATCAGCAGTTTAAAGGTGGCACAATGAAATCAGAAATATTATTAGCAAATTACCAACCATCCCGCAAACAACTAACAGGGCGAATTGGTGGCCGGGGTGTGGCTTGGAAAACCAACGCTCGGGAAGTATTGTTCAGCCGCCAAATGCTCAACACATGGATTCTTGTCCTTCTGACTTTGGAGGATTCAACAAAAACCCTCACAAAACCCTAAGAAGGGGGCGAATTACCGTCAACAAAAAGACACTCCCCCAAACATGCTCGGGGTTCTGAGCAAGCGCGCAGCACGTGCCACTGAACAACTACAAATGGGACCTTTTCTTAATTTGAAAGTTCGCCCATGTTCCCCCCCGCCCAAATTTTGGCGTGGTATTTCATGGTTGTTTCAGGTTACCGCCCTGTTTTTAATGCCTTTGGCCCCCAGAAGCAGTTTTCTGTAGAAAACCTGGTTTTGGATATGCTGCGTGAATTCGTGAGGGGTGTCGTTATTTTCGGGATCTCCAAAACTACTTTCCATTGTTCCGATGGGCCAATTATGACACATAATCAACAACAATATATAATATAACTATACAGTATATGTATTCTATGTGCATATATATATATATATCATTTGATTCCCCATTTCTCCCGGGCAGGAGTAGTGTGGGGTGTCTTTTTGGCGGGAACCGGACACATTCTTGGAAAACAAACAACTGCATCCTGTTGGTTTTAAAGGGGAGCCCAAAAACCGAAAGCCTCTTGCGCCTTGGCGACTGGGACTCCCTGCCTACACCGATGATCTCAGGCGCCTAGCCGAGCAATCCGACGCGAGGCCTGGTGCAAAGCCTCAGGGTTGAAGGACTATACTGGGCTGCCCATTTTGGGATTTCCCGCTAAAAGTTTAACTTTTCGTAGGTGAAAAGTGGAAATCCCCATTTAAACACTAAACGGCTAAAAAGTTGAGGAACCGGATGGCTGGGAGCCACCAAGAATACTATAACATATGAAATGGGGGTGACTTCCTCGTTGGCCCTTCAGGCTGTTTGCAGGTACAACACACCATCCTTTTTGGGCGCCTTAACAGAACAAATGTATCCAAAGATACCTACACAGAGTCACAATACCCTGACAACGCTGCTAAATAACATGTTTAGTCTCCAGGCTTCGGGCTTTACAAAAAGGAGGGGGGTTGTAGCACTAATCAAAGGAAACAAAACCCTTCAAACCTGCAATGGAAGGCAAGTTGATGCGAGATTACAAGGAATCTACTGAACCATGATAGACTACAGGCTTTCCCTTGTGCCCTACTTGCCGTGTTGTTTCTCTGACTTTGTGCACACATGCTGTGGATGGAAAAATATTGCACCAGCTGGGATGGATGAAACCCTATGAACACTACAGCAAAACACATATCAACCGGTGCAGGATTTTTGTCCATCCACAGTAGGGGATATCCGGAAGTCACCCACCTCCACCAGTATACCATCAGCTGCAGATTTCGGCACAGCAAAAGGAATCTTCTCTGCCAGCAAGGTTTTAGAATCCTGCTCCCATCTGATGGGAGTGCAACCGCTGCAGCGTGATCCTTTAGGAGCAGACATGCAACGCTGCGCCGCTTCCAGCTCAAAGGAAGGCGTGGAGGTGAGGGCGGCTTGTCATACTGGTCGGCTTCAATGGCCCGCACGGCACACTTTTTGTACATGCACATCTGCGCATGTTTGGCCCTCTCTCCATGAACCAACCTATGACTGAGCTGTGTTCGACGTTTGGGGGAGCATTTGTTTTTATTACTGTGTTGCTGAACAATGCGTGGTTAGCCTGGCAATTTGTGACCATTTGCCATCCGGAGCATTGGCTGAAGCTCATTGTACCCTATACTGATTCAGAGGCGCACCATTGCAGCCAAGTGGAGACTATCTGCGAAAATAGTGACTATTAGGTGCCATGACCTTCCCACGGCTCGCCTCGTTGTGGCTTAATCAATATCGGATTCTTAGGGGCAACTGCAAAACGGTTGCAAACATCTCAGATTGTGCGAGAGATAGGGTTGCCACCGAGCCAAACTGTACAACCCAAGTTCCGAACAAGCGAATCGACCCGGACCTCGCCTGCGGCGCTTCTGGTACGCATTCCTTCAGCACTTCCTCCAGCTGATGCGAGAACTCAAGCCAGTCCACCTGATCCAAATGGGGCGTGCCGCAAAATGGACTTGGGTGTGGGTCAAAAATAGGTACCCAAAAGGGAACCCTGGTAAATGGAACCAAGGACTAAAACCTGTGGCCCATTGGACACGATCTACCATCCACTCCAGGATACGCAGAACTTGACTGGAATGGTCAATTGACCCCTCCGCAAAATATGAACAACGAGTTGCTTGTTCGTGGGGGAACTTGCGTCAAACATCAAGAGGGTCAAGGTCAAAGAGCTTAAACCCCAAGCCTTCTTTTGGCCAAGTTTCACTTGGCCAACTCACAAAATTCCGGTAAAACTGGGTCAAGGAAGGCCAGGAGAACCAAACTAAATGGTTATGGGGCATAACCTATGGCTCCATTTTGGGTTGGATGAATATCCTTTTGCCACCTATTTTGAAGCTCACCATGGGTTTCCTGGGTTTTGACCGGCCAAATGTGAGCTGACAAGCTCACCGCGCACTGGACGGGGCCTGGGCCGGGGCCAAAGCCTGGGCGCGTGCCGCGCCGTGGCCCAAGATGTCCAGGGCCAGCAGCTGCAAGGACGCCACTCGCCAACTCAGCACCTGGCTATGGAGGTGACAAACAGAAGTAGGTAGCATGGGAAACATGGCCATGGCTCAAAATCCAAATCGGTTAGGGGGAAACATGGCCATGCCTCAACATTTAAATCCAAATCGGTTAGTTCCCAGTGAACGGGACCCAATCCAACCACTAAAATAGGTTCTAACATGGGTGGTGAATTCACCTAGCCCAAAATGGTACCATTGGTTTTGACCCACAGCCATATCTGGTATGGATGTGGCTCAAAATGAAACAGCTGGGGTTGCGCAGGTTTTGGTCCATGTTTCCACTTACCAGGGTTTGATTTTGGGTACCAACTGTTGAGCCACAGCCACATGGGAAATATCTTTCGACCTACTGCGTGTGGACCAAATCCTGCACCGCTTTGAAACCATGGGAAGCCATTTGTTTGTTGGCATTTTCAGGGGAATCATCCTTCCAGGGATTCTTAGGTGGTGCAGGATTTCGTCAATCACAGTATCATAATTACCAGAACCGCAACTGGCTTTCGTTTTGTAGCTTCTTCAGTACTTTGGGGCAGAGAAAAGGCGGAGTGGATCGCTTGGGGTTCCGTTTGCCAGCTCGGCTTGGGAGTTGGCTCAGTCTCCGTCTTCGGTGACCCAACAGCACCCCAAGTTGGACATCCCAAAAGGAACCCTTTTGGAAGAAACCCAAAGGAAAACTCAAAAAGGAAACTCAAAAAGGACAACTCACAAGGGAAAATGCAAAAGGGGAAACGCAAAAGGGGAAACGCCCTTCTGACCCTTGGCCGGCCACCCGCTTTTAAGCCAAAAGGCCTCCGGGCGTGGAGTGGCCACGGGCTGCAGCTTGGCGCCCAGCAGGCGCGCCAGGTCGTGCGCGAAGGGGGACCACACCTCCTTGCAGAGGCCTCGCTGGGATCGATTGCCTTGTTGGATCGTTTTGGACTAAAATGGGTGGTGCAACTATCCAAAAATGGGATGCCATTGGTGTTGACCCACAGCCATATCAAAGGGCCTTGGTGATGGTGCTGGATCGAAAGCCGTGGAATTCACAAGTCCAAATTGGATGTGAAACTGCATATACGGGCTCAGTGGAACCCCTTTGGCTGTTTTTTGATTTTCCCCAAAGGGTACCCACCCAAAGGGTGGTCATCCCCACGGCCATGGCAAAACTGGCATCAAAGCCGCCTGCGCAAATCTCACTCCAAAGGCTGTTCCACCATCTTGGCGCGCCTGTTTTGAGGACCTTGTGTTGCGCATAGCTTGGGCCAGGGGGGATTTTCGGTAGGCCACACACCCTTTTCTGGATTGTTCAAAACCAAAAGGACCCAAAAGGAAACCCGAAGCCCTTGAGAACAGCTTTCCCAAAAGAGACACGCAGACATCCACTGAGCAGAGCTCCGTTTGCGTGCAGCAGCACGCATACAGTCCGGACCATGGCATCCATGGCCAAGAAGGCTGGAGTGTGAAATCTCGGTGCATCCTGAATACCCCGAACATGGTGGTTTCGTGCTGTCTGATGGAAAAAGGTGTGATAAAATGTGATAAAAGGCCAACAAATGGCCAAAAGGCGTGATGAGTGGCCAAGTTCAATATATCAATATACATTACATTGAAGGGAGAAACTTAAGGGAGGCCGCACTCTGCGGAGTGGCAATGTTGGAGGGTGAGGGGACAACGCACAACACCTCTACGGGGTTTCAGGATTCTGCAGGGTTTTCCCTGATGGGTGTGGTTTGAGGGCAACTGCCCTACCCGACCCGCACATTCTGACTGGAGCAAGTCACGCTTGCGGGATGTGGCAAGTCTCATAACAACGCTCCATTTATGACACGTTATTTTATCAACGCCTGCGTCAAGTCTTGAAAAAACACGAATGCGTTAACACCCGAAGCCTGGAGCACATCGCCTGCAGCTGCTCTCATGTGCAAAGGACGCCAGGGGATTTGCTGCCAAGAACGCCCTTACGAGACTCTCATTTCATTCTCCGGTTGGATACCCTGGCTTACAGCTCGAGATACCAAATGGTCCCGGTATCTGGGGGTACCTCAGTTTCCCCCTTCGAGTGTGTTTTCACCTCGATGAGCCAAGGGTTGACGTTAGAAACAAACAACTTCCGGATGATTCTCCCCAAACTGGTCGGGCTGGCAGTTCGGCCAACGCGGTGGATGTAGCGGGTGACCTGAAGCGAAGCTGCCCCAAGGATTCATTTTGGAGTTTGACAGTTGCGTGTCCATCAAACTCAATGAGACCCATTCAATGTGAGCAACTTTGGTTTCATGAGATCCGCTCTCAATATGGGTTCCGAGGGCTCACCCCTCAGAAACGGGGCTCCCTCAAGATCGTAAAGGGTTGTGGACTCCCCCCCCATTTTGCCATGTGCCGAAGTCTTGGACACCCCCTAACAATAATTCGCTGCTTGGATCTTTGGTAGGCTTGGCAGAAGGGAACCAAGGAACCAGCAAGCAAATGGAGCATGGGTGGTTTCAAACATGCCAAGCATATTTCAATCTTAAGGGTCCATGACCATCTTCAGCAGGTGAGTTGTTGCACACTCCTCGGTGGTGTCGATCCTTACAACCGCAGTCTGCTGTCAAAATGAACCAACACGTAGCTAGTAAGCCTGTAACACTGTAGTTGAGAACCTTAGCCTAACGTTAGGGTCATCACATGTCATCCCTCATCTCCAATTCTGCTTAGCAAGAAATGCCCGCTTAGAATTGACCGTTGTCCCAGAAGTTCAACGAAGCAACCACTGGTGATCGTTTGAGAATAGGTTGAAGACAATGCACCCTCGATTCCTCTGGTCATTTGCTTTGCCTGATAGAACTGTTCAACTCGAGCTATTCTGAGGATGGTTTGACCATGCAACCAGTGTGTGTGTGTGTGTGTGTGTGTGTGTGTGTGTGTGTGTGTGTGTGTGTGTGTGTGTGTGTGTGTGTGTGTGTGTGTGTGTGTGTGTGTGTGTGTGTGTGTGTGTGTGTGTGTGTGTGTGTGTGTGTGTGTGTGTGTGTGTGTGTGTGTGTGTGTGTGTGTGTGTGTGTGTGTGTGTGTGTGTGTGTGTGTGTGTGTGTGTGTGTGGGTGTGTGGGTGTGTGGGTGCGTGCGTGCGCGCGCGCGCGCTGCGCGTGCGCGTGCGCGTGCGCGTGCGCGTGCGCGTTCGTGTGCGCGTGCGCGTGCGTGTGCGCGTGCGTGCGTGTGTGTGTGTGTGTTATGTGTGTGTGTGTGTTATGTTGTTTTCGCGAGGGTACCCTTTTCAGCTTAAATCGAACCGTGGCTGAACCATGCCATGGCGAAGCAAGGGGTAATAGGGTGAGCCCAACAAAAACAATGGTGGTTGTCCTTTATGTCACTATTCTTTAAGCCACCTCTTGGCGTCCCTTCACAGCACACCAAAGGGGTTGGTTGACCTTGACACATGAGGCCACCCACATCCGCCGGCAACTGGAAGTTGATCACGGTCTTCGTGTTCGGCCTCGGAGCCCGAAGAGCGTGCCGCTTCTTTCCTCCAGGCCGTGGCTTTCTCTTGAGGCTGCCCATTCCGGGACCCAGGCCCCCGGATATCGGCAACATCCCATGCCTAGGGCCGTGGCCTGGATGGCACCCCCATGCATGCCCTTGCAAACACACCCAGTGTCTTGTGGAGCTGAATGCCATGCCTCTCTCTCTCTCTCTCTCTCTCTCTCTCTCTCTCTCTCTCTCTCTCTTCAGTCGCCCTGTTCCGCATCTATCACAAAGTATCACTGGACAGGAGTTTCGATGACCGGCGCAAAATCCCAACCCATGCGTTGGATCCCATCATTTTGAGAGGGGTCCCCCGCCAGAATCCCAGGAGAAAGGTCCCCAATAGACCCGTTCCTGAACGCCCTTATGTCCAGAATCGGCCCCAGTGGGGGGAGGGCGGGGGGAGCGACCACCATAGGATTGGATAGTCTGATCTGGGCGGAACGCGACTTGGCTTCCAGGCAGATCCAAGCCGCGAGATGCAATGTCTGTGGCAATCAGGAAGTCTGCCTGTCGGATCCCAACACTCCATGGAATATTTACCCACACTGTCCCTCCAAATGTGTCAACTGTTGGTATTGTCTACCTGCATCGTGCATGTGGACATCTGTCAAAGCCTGTTCACCTTTCCCAGCTTGGGCACAAGCTTTCCTGCTCCGTCTGGACTGTCTCACCTGCCTTGTTGCTCTGGAAGCTCTGCAAAGAAGCAGCGCGCTCGCCCTGAGCGCTCGAACGGGGATGCCTCCAGCTTGCAAACCGGCTCAAGGCCAAGCGAGAACAAAGGAGCTGAGCCAAAACGAGGCCTGAACACTCTGGGATAAGCCAGAATTAACAAATGTCATCCATGTCAAGAAGACACCGGTGCAAATACACATAATATGATTGCGGGATACAGTGGTACGAAACACGTCCGGTAAAAACCAAAAAGCAACAAATTCTCAATATCGTCCTTGCAGCGCCTTGCACCCTGGCAGATTGCCGGAGAACCCCCCCCCTAAAACCTGATCCAACGACCCCATTCAGCTGTATCTCTGGGAGTTTGACCCTTTTGGGATAGGCATTCCCCCAATTGTCGTATTCAGGGGTTCAAGAGTGTCGAACCTCCGGTTAGACACAGCTAAGAAGAGAGAGAGAGAGAGAAAAAACAAGAAAGAAAGAAAGAAAGAAAGAAAGAAAGAAAGAAAGCAAGCAAGAAAGAAAGGAAAGAAAGAAAGAAAGAAAGAAAGAAAGAAAGAAAGATAACACAGACAGAGCGAGAAAGACAAAGAGAGAGAAAGAGAGATAGAGACAAAACGAGAGAATCCCAACAAAACAAAGGGGGAGGAGGGGACTGGTCTCGCGTCCCCCAAGGCCCCCCGCCTGCGAGAGCTCCCCATGGATCTCCGCGAACTTGAGGCGGCACAGGCCGAAGATGATGGCCAGGCGATGGGCGACCTCCGAACCCCGAGGCTGACAAACTCAGAGAGGCCCTTGGCTGAGCCACCCCCCCAAAAGGAACCAACAAACATAGAAAACGCAGGAGGTTTACACCTGACAAAACCATGAACCGCCCTGGTGTTCGGCAACGGACCTTCCTTTTCACCGTGGTTTTGGGGCTTGACTGGACAGGTTTTTGAGCCAAGGTCAAAGTGGATGAATAGCTTCAGGCCGCTGGGAGCTGCTGCATCACTCCAGACAGGCCGTGCATGATGAGCACGGTGAGGTAGCGCAACTCAACAAATTGGGTTAGTAAAAACCTTACCCAACAAGTCAATGAAGTTCCTTGAGCTTCCAACCAGGCCGTTTCTTTCCAAAAGCCCGCGCTTCGAACTTCGCACCGCCTGCTTCGTGGAGCAGAAGACGATGACCTTGGAGTCGTAGTTCCGCGACACCAGGCCTGCGTCTCCCAGTCGCGACACGAGACCCGAACCACTTGGCCCTGGGCCCCGGAACTGAAAGCTCCAAGCCCACCGGGGAACAGCCGGACGTGGTTTTCTCGAAGGGCTCCAGACGGAGATTGCCATTGGGACCTGAGATGGTCTCAAATTATAAAGAGAACAAAATTGAGCTGCGAAAGAAAAAAAACGGCTTCGCCTTTGATTTCCCCCTTGAACTGAGCCAAACAATGTTGTAAGAGGGGGGGCCCTCAAAGAAAAACACTCCCATAGATCTTTCCTGCCAGGGGAATTCAGTGAAAGACACCACAAGGGTGCTTGCGCTTGGGCCTTTTCCATGCCAAACAAGGCCCTGACCGTTGGGGTGGTCTTGTGGGGGTGGTGGGTGGCAGGGTGTGTGAAAAAGGACCGCACATCCCCGCAAGTCCATTCGTCTAGTCTTACCCACAAAGGGGACAATGCAATCACAAATGGATGCCCAAAGTCATCCCCTTTCCCAATTCCATTTTTAAACCACCAAAGATTTGTCGAGGCGCTTGCTAGATTCCCCGAAAAGGAACTGTCCATTTGCGAAAATGTGTTTCCTGGAAAAAAAAACAACAACATATTACACATATTATCATAATTAATAAGAATATTCCAGTCTTCCAGTCCTGTGACATATGATTCGTTTGACACCAGGGAAACAATTGAGCATCTTAATCGACGCGACCCATGCGGAAAGCTTAGGCCCTGGCTCAAGAGGGCTGCCTCTCTCAGCTCCGCGCTGGGCGCCTTCACAAACTCCTCGGCTCGAAAGATTCGATGGATTCGATCCCAAGCACGAAGGATTCCCGGCCGGGGGAAGGGAGCAGGGCTATAGGCATACGGTGGGTGCGGGTGGGTGGGGGTGGGTAGGGGTGTGGGGGAAGCTGTGTACCCAAAAGGAAACTGAAGGAGGAACAAAAAGTCAAATGCCTGGTGCTTAAATTGCCCAGAAGATGTTGGAATCCCACACTTGACCCACTTTCCCTCACCTTCGGGAGGTTCACTCCGACGCTCCTGCTCCAGCGTCTGCGCCACGGCGTTCACGGGGCTCGCATGGACTCGTTCCGGCTTGATCTCAGCCAGAAAAAAAAAAGACCACAGATCAACACGATGCACATGTGGCCGCCGCGGTTTTGAAACCCAGACCATCTACCGGGTCCCTAAACAGCAGTCACAGTGACTCTGGGGGAGAAAAAACAGGACGACTTGCGCGAAAAGCAGTTCCAATTCCTGGGGAACAAGACCAGAACCACCTTCGCAACCGGATCCCTCCAGGCACCCTTTGCGATTTTTTTTTGGGAGCAGCCCCCCCTTCAGGGTATGAGGTACTGGCTAGGTGGCTTCCTGTGGGCTTCCCCAAAAACCGACCCAAAAGGGGCGCAAGTACCCTGCAAAGCAGACACCCCCCCATCCAAATGGGGGTACCGCCCGAAATAGTGTACGGGCCTTTGCTTTCCCTCTAAAGCCAATCCAAAAGAAGAAAAACCTCCAAAGGCACCACACTTGGCCAACCTGGGGCCACAAGCCAGCGCCAAACCCGCGAGATCCTCCACCGAAGCGTTCATGGTGGCGGAGAATAGCATCGTCCTAGGGACATGATGCCTGACATAGGGACCCCTATAGGTGGGCTTTCCTCGTTTCCCTTTAAACCCCATTTTGGGCACTCAAAAACATGGAGTTAGACCCACCGAATTCAGATGTCCACCCACTGGCCCCCTATGGGTGTGCCTCCAAAACCGGTGGTTTCCGATTTGGTTTCTTTCCAAAGCCCAAACAGGATGCTCTTGAAAAAGCCCCCCCCCCAAACAAAAAATTGGGGGACACCCTGTTGGATGGCGTGAACGGGGAAGCACTGCTTTGAACCTTTTTGGGCATGGAGATCGAGATATTGTTTAAATGGGTGCAGCTCCCCCGTTTTGGAGGCAGCGGGCCGCTTTTTGCTCGGAGCTGAACTGGTCATGGGGAACCACGCTGCCCAAAACTTGCGCTCTAGTCCAATGTCAAACACTTTGCCTGAGGTCCAACGAAGAGAAGCCAAAGACCAATCAGGCGGGCGAGTCTGTGCCCCATTGAGACCCTCAAAAATCTGGGCCCAGCGCTGTCGACCCTGTGAGCAGCGCTTGAGAACCTCCAAGGGCGGGATGCTGTCGATGGAAACAGATGCTTCACACACACACACCGCCAAAACCCACCAAAAAAAAGCACAAATGGCTTTTCAAGGAAAGGGGGTGGTAGGATGGATAAAGCCCTGCAATTGGGATTAGAATCCAGACCAACGGGCGCAAGAGGACTTGAACCCTCCCTCCAATCAGACGATGCTTTTAGACAACTTGCTTTTGGACCGGCCCCAACGCCCATGGCTCATGCCTGGAAAGAGGCCAAAACAACTTATCTAAAACTTTCCTGAGGAATTTCTGATCGCCGCAAATCGTGAACGCCTAGACCGCGGTCTCTCGCACTCGCGTCTCGGCCGGCCTCCAGGCACTCTTGCCGGAAGCCCATCTCCAGCAGCCTATGGCTAGTCAAAATATTTGTTGACCTTTTGGTTGCAACGAAAATCAAGGTGAAAGGGTGCCCTCACAAACAAACAAACAAACAAACAAACGAACGAACAAACAAACAAACAAACAAACACACAGACACACAGACACACAGACACACATGTACAGAGACACGAATCCACACTACACCCCGAATGAACCAGAGCGCAACTGACCCAAGTGGAAAATCCAACAAACTCGGAGAGGGTACACCCAGCCCTCCAGCAATGCGCAAGAGGTGCCAGGTTTGGATCAGTCTCGCCGTTTTGCGAGGACACCCCTTTGAAGCGAGATGATAAAAGGGAGTCCCTGATTTCACCCGAATGGAGGGGATTTGGGGTAATTTCGGGGCAAGGGGGGAATTTCTCGCTGTCATGCAAGGGCCACGTCCGCGAAATCCAATGACTACGACGACCAAATCTCACCTGTGAAGACCGGCAACCTAACCTCTCCCCAAGTTGGCAATGCCAGGAGCATCCACAAGCCCACCACCGGCCCCACGCGCGCCTATCCGCTTCGTCGAAGATCACGATCTCCAGCAGCTCCATGTGAACCTGAGGCCAAAGATCAGAATATGGGCTGCCATAAAGAAGCCAGGGGGGCGCGTGTTCAAAGGGAAACCAACAACAAACCAAGCATCATCATGGGTTCCCCAATTCAATTGTGGACACCTCTATATCATGACGTACCAATGAATCATACTATGATGGGCATGGGACAAGCTAGGAAACTTCCCCCCCGCCCCCGGGCCCTCCCAAATAATTAGGATAGGCGACCAATATCTTGACCATGGGTGCCAGAATTCCTTGAGGTTTGACAATGTTTGACACCACAGGCCATTGCCGGGCGCCCAAGCATTTGCCCCTCCCGAGGCCTTGCAGCCCGAAAATGGGACCTCGACCCTCAAAGCAAACATTTGGACATCCCAAAATCATGGGGTAAAGAAGATCATGATTCAACGCTAGCTTCAGGATCCAGCCAAAATAAGGGTACCCCCCTCCCTCCCCCCCCGATCAGCGCTTAAGTAAACGCAACAGAACCGTGAAGACCACCCTCGGGGCCCGGGCGGACTGGGAGTTCATCAAATGGTCCAGCAGCCGGCCAGGTGTGGCCACCACCAAATCCGGCTGGTGCCGCAACGACGCCGCCTACCGCCGGGCCTTTCGTTTTTCTTTGGCGGGGGGATGGTGTCTTGGGGTTGTGATGTTTGGGGTTTAGGGGACCACTGCACCTGAAATCACCCATTCTGAACCCAGGGATCCTTCTCCGAAAGCCGCAAACCAGGCGGATCTTTTGGCACCGAGAGCTGAAAAACTTGGAATCCAATCCTCAACCACGCTCAACTGGCGGAAAACGAGCGGAAATAAGCCCCTTTCAACTCATTGCCCAAGAAAGCCATTAAGGAAACACGTATAGTATAACCGTCCCTTCATTTCCATACATTACTTTGAGAGGCAAAGAGAGGGAGATGTGCATGATACAAAGAACAATAACAAATCGTAGTACTCATGCTAATGCAAATACTACTAATAGCTTACAATCAGTGACTTGCAGAACTGAGTGGCTAGCAAAGTTCAAGCTTCTTTAGCCTTGAATAACAGGATGAAGCAACCTGCCACCAAAAAAGTGTAGTTTGCTTCAACTCAATTGATCAGATCATAAACATACAAATAATGATGTGTATTAATAATAGTATTATTATCCTGACGAAACGACCATCTTTGCAGCTTTAAGCTAATGCACTGCAGAACCCTGACCTTGCCATGGGTGCAAGTTGCCCTCTGGCGAATGCTTGTGCATGGTTTGTCAAATGTGCACATTGCAACAACCGACGTAGATCAGCTCCTATCAAACATCCCAAACTCGAAAGGGTAAAGCTCTGGCGTTTTGCAACGAGTGCCTTGTTGATTGGATTCGCCAGCGATACCATGAGATGTAACTTCAACACCAATTTCTTCTTCAATGTGCCCCCCGGCAGCACTTCTCTGGAAGGTAGCCCTGATGTTGCAAACCAGCGTGTTGACAACTATAGCACATCTGACACACATGCAGAATTGACAGGTCCTGAGCTTAGTGCTCGCATGCCTCAGCGTCTCCTTTTGAGCGTTGCAAGAATTCACATTTGCAGACCTGGACGACTCCATCCGGAAAGAATAAGCCCGGCAGATTCGGAGTGCCCAAAACTCACGCGTGAATGGTGAGCAACAAGGCCACAAGGCTCACTTCCTCGACCTGCTCAAAATCGCTTGGCCCATCCTCTGCATTGATCCTATTCAGAAGGGACAACCAAAGGAAGCCAATCCTTTGGTAACCCAAAGGAAGGATTGAGCCTACAGCCCAGTTGAATGGTTTACGGTGAATGGGAGCTCAAAGGAAACCTATAACCTGAGGGTTCCCTATAGGTCTAGGGGTACCTTCCCCGTTCTTTCCATGCATCCTTTCTAGAAAGCCCCGGAAACCCAGGGAAAACGGCGATCGGTTTTTGGAAAGAACGATGGTTGACAAGAATGGGGAATCAACCCCATCCAAAACATGGGCAACATTCGGCAGACTCATCGCCTGGTCGTGCGCCACATACCCTCCAGCAACCTGTGTGCCGAGCTCGCGCGACTAGAAACCCAAGCACCATTCAATGGACATTCCCCAAGCTTAACTCCCTCCCTCCCTCAAACTACGCTTAAACCTCCCTGAAACTACCCCTAAACAGGGTAGTTTCCCTCTTTTGGGGGTAGTTGAAGTGTCGAGGTCCTTTGTAAGGCTTTCTTTCTTTCAAGCCAACAGTCCCTTCCTGCCCAACGTCTTACTTGTTTGTTGGTTTGTTTGTTTGTCGTTTGTTGCAAAGCTGAAACCGCCATTGGGAACAGCTATGTTCCAAAAACGGCAGCAGACATGGAGAATTTCAACCAAGTCTTGCCAAAGGGCAGCACAAAGAAACGTCAAAATAAGTCAAGCAATAGGAAAGGAAATTGGAAGGAGTGAAGTGATGGAGCATGAAATGGCAGAATCTCAGTGAATCGTAGCAAGGGTGGTCTCAGTTACAATGGCCTGAGTGAAACATCCACTCTGAACTCACGCGACGATGCGCAAAGCGACGAAGCGCCACATCTGCGGTCCAGGCAAGTTGGTAGGTGACCAGTGTGTACCTTCAGCACTCTGGTAACGCATGGCTCAGGATATCTGCACTTCCCTTTCACAAGGCGAATTACTCACGTCGCATTGTTTATCCTGGTGGCACGGCTGCTACGTGCTCTTGTCATGGAACCAGAACGCCGCAACCAAAGAAAATGATTCATCTTTCCAATATTGATATATTCTTAGTATTATTAGAGTTATGTTGTGCGAACATGTTATGAATCGCATAAATGGATGAAGTAAACCAGAAATACACAGACAAATTGAGCGGTGCCGAAAACTCTTGTGTAAAAGCGGTACCATGATTTTGCTTTTGCGGACCCTTTCGCGATGCTTGGCGACCACATGCTCTTCTTTCTCGGGCACGGTTTCCCTCAGGTTTGCTTTTGCAGCGCTGTCGCGCGGATGCTGCTGACACAGACGTCCGCAGGAGCCTGACAGTGCACTTCAGCCCCTGGAGCTAAGCGCAAAGGCAGAGAAAGCATCAGCCTGGACTGGGGCACCCCTTTCTGGGCTGGGTGTTGCTTTCTCGCGGCGTTGGCGGGGCTTTCGCGAGAATTGTGCTTCTTTTCTCAGAAAACGTTTACACCTCAATCAAAAACAGGAGAAACGTTTGATTATGCGGTCAGCTTTGACCTCCATGCGCATGCGCCAGCACAAAAAAACACAAACACTTGCTGCAATACATTTCGCGGGACCTTCTTCCAGGCACCTATGCAAAGAGATAACCACACACCCGCAGCCGGAGGATAATCTCTCTGGCACATCTGAGGTTTATTCTTGTCCCTGATGGCGGAAACCCAAACTGGCGGCCACTTTAACTCGGGGGGGGCTTTAGGGTTCCTCAGCAGAAAACGGTTCTCTCCAAACCCTCGGCCATTTCAAATGACCACCAGCGCCTCCCTTGACCTGACAAATGGGTTCTGAAATCGGATGCGAATCCACATTGCCCTTTGGCGGAAACCTTCTACTCGTTGATTAGAACCCATTCAACGGAACGATCCCCTGAGGCCATCCCCAATCGAATTCATCCATTTGCTTGAGTTCCCTGAAAAACGAGACAACATATTTTGTCGCGGACTCCGTTTAAAACCAATAACACGTCTTCCGAAATGATGGAAGGAATCCACTCGCTGAATTCGCGCACTTGGCCAGGTTTTGCAGCATCGCGTGACACTGCCTCAGTCGGCATGGGCACCACTCGCGATGGGCTTTGGCTGCCAATGAGCTTATGCCTGTGGCCTCTTTGAGGCTCGGTGCCCTCTTTGAACTGCACTTCCATGTGCGCCGACCAAGCTGGTTTGGTGCGTAGACCCAGCTTGGAAGGCTTCCAAAGGGACAAACATGTTGTGCAGTTCCACGTTTGTTGGCGGGAAGGTGACTGGTAGCCCCTTCCACCTCTTTGTCACAACCTTGCAACCACGTAGTATATTTGGCTGTGGGTCAAAATAGGTACCCAAAATGGCACCCTGGTAAATGGAAACAATAACTAAAACCTGTGGTCCCCGGTGGTTGTATTTTGACCCATACCCATTGGAAGTTCACCCACGAATCTTTCAGCCCCAAGGACCTCGCCAAAGCTGGCACCTGGCGCCCGCGCACAGCGAGCTCCCGCGTGGGGATCAAGACCACCGCCTTGGTGCCCACTGGTCCTGGCACTTGAACACCAGGCATTCTCCTCAAAGCTCAGGGTCTAAGTCGGAATCCCAAAATGGAACCCTGGTCGCCACTTGGCCGAGTTTTGAGGCTGGACGCCGCCCTTTTTTCAAGGACAAATGGAGCAACTGGCTAGATGAAAGAAGAGCCGTGCCGCCGGTCCCAGGGAAACCGTGGGTCCCACAAACTTCCTCCGAAAGCAGTGCGGCCTTGATGGAAACCTGATTGGGAGGATTTCGTCATTGTTTGAGTGACCCTGGCAGGAAAATGGAACCTCTTCTTTGGGTGTGACGATCTTCAGCCAGGGAAGCCACCCACCAAAAAGGGATTTAGAGGCTGCAACCGAACAAGTGGAAGCCTTTCGCCACCTGGATGTTGCTCAAAATGGGCGCGCGTTCCAAATGGACGGCTTCCGTTTGATTGTCCAATGGAACAAAAACACCCGAAGCAGGGGTTTTGCTTTCTATCCCCTAACATCATCCCAAAAGACAACCCAAAACCTGGGGACCCTATTATTCGAACAGTTCAAATTGTGCTCAAAAATGAGCCCTCGAACAAGTGACACATTCTCTGGTGCTTCCCTCAGATGTCACCTTTGTTTCAGATTGGACACAAAAGCCCGTGCCGCCAGCTCCGACCCAAAAGCGCCAGCCTAGGATGAGCTGCCCCGCGGCATCTCGACGCCGTGCGCGCACGCTGCTGCTTTGGCCTAACCGCCGAAGCCGGAGTCGAATCGGACCAAAATGGGTTAGGACGTCCCAACATGGGTGCAACTCCCCCTTGATTTGGAGGCTCGGTGCCCTGTTTGAGGCTGGTATTCAGGTACTGCCCTCAAATGACACCTGAACACTAAAACGAAAGTGGATTGTGCAGCTCAGGGTTTGGTCAGCTTGGTGGAAATTTGATGGCACTTTGTTCATTTCGGGTTTGACCACTCACCGATGCTAGCAATTTGTTCAACAGGACGCTTAGGCCAACAGGCTTGGGCTTTGACGGAGGGGCTTGTCAAAATGCACGAAGGCACCTAGGGTTGCATCAATAGTCTTGATCACGGGCTTCTCTCTTTTGGATATTTGGCTATGAATCTTAAGATGAAACCATTTCAAAAGTAGTTGGTGGACACTGAATGATGGCAAAAGGGCCCCCTTTCATACCTATTAAATCAAAATTGGGTGTCCAACAAAGGCGTTTTGTTTGCACCCTCTTTGGGGCGTCGCTTTAAGTCTGGTCCCACGTTTCCCAAAAAAGGGGAAGCCCATGGCATTGCCAATCCGGGACCCTCGGCGCCGGGCACAAGCGCTCCAAGGTGGGCAACAGGAAGGAGGCCGTCTTGCCGGAGCCTGTGTCGCCATTTCCAAATGGCGGGGGACCAAAGTCACCTGAGTCAAATTCAAAACCCGGTATCAAAATGGTCGACCCACCATGTAAAGAATTGAGAAGCCGGCCGCAGCTACTTATGGTTGGGATTGTCCCTTACTAACCTTCATCTACCCGGGTTTTGATTGTGGCTCACCTGGGCTGGGGTGTCCTTTGAGGATCCCAATTTTGAGAGACCCCCTACCCCATTTGGAAAGGCTCCACTAGCTGAGTTTCAATAGGGGCTCGCCACCCTGTACGGAAACCAGCGAAGGGTTATCTAAAGGGCTTGGGATCGAGCTGGGCAAACACACACCTCTGCAAATGCTCAAACGGAACCCATGTTTGCCTTCCAGGAGATCCCAACACAATTTTTTGAGCTGCATTTCGAATTGTTCCCAGGTCAATCAGGGGAGAAGATCCTAAGGCCTGGAGCGTAACCGCCAGGCCGCGAAGCTCCCAAAGTTGATCCCAGTTTTCAGCCAGAAGGACACCCAGTTTCCCTGTTTTCACTCTCGACCCTCAAACACGGGCACTGCCCAACGGTGTGAAGAGCACCCCCCCACTGCCCAACTGATTGGAGCTGAAAACCCTCGTCTTCGGGTCCATTTCGGGTTCTACAAGCCTGAAGCCTCAGGCTTCAGCACGCCTGTCTCGGCGGTGGCCAAAATGTCAGAGCCCTTCAGTGCCAGCGGGATAACGTCCCTGCGATCTCGGCACGTTTCCGTCTCGCGGAATCTCACCCGAGGAAACGAACATAGGACCCCTTGTCACAGGTGCCAGAGTTGTACCAAAGTCGTGCCCTCCGGAAATAAAAGTCTTGAGGAGTTTGTTTTCATGGGCGCACATTTCGGGTACAACCTCACGCATACGACTCTGGAACCCTTTGGATCAGAATGACATTCCTGTCACTTGTCCGGGGTGTTGCAGCCTTATCCTCACTCCCATGCACAAAACACCTTCACACCGTGGCGCGAGCCCCACCTCTGGATGGGCGTTGGACACTGGAACTGCAGCTCAGAACAAGCCTCCAGAAGCAGTGGGTGTGACGCCCTGGAGGCGTTGAACGAATCACACGCATGGTGATGATGTTTGCCAACGCTTGACCATAGATTTGGGCATGATGTTAGGGGTGGCTCCGTGGCTTCCCTAAGAGTTCTTTTGGGTGGCTCTTCAGCTTCCCTATGTACCTAGGTCCTCCAGAGAGGTCAGAATAAGGGTACTTTTTTTCCTGTAGTCTATAAAAGGGGAGAGAAGGGCACTACTGGGGGACCCAGCTACATTTATTTGGGGATTCCAAGTTTCCCTAGCTCCTTGGCTCCCTCGTCGCAACTGAAAAAGAGCTCCGTGGGAACTTGAGCCGCCGGCCCTGAGAAGCGGCCTGGCGCTGGCCATACCCAAAATGGACATCACCAAGGGCCCGTTGGCACCTTTGGTTTCCCATT